AGATGAATAGAAGACTGTATTTCAAACTAAGTATAGGTAATTTGAATACAACGTCATGCCTTTTGGACTTACAAATGCATTGACATCTTTTTAACATCTAATAAATGATGTATTTTGAAAAATTTTAGATGATTTTGTTGTTTGTTATTTGAACGACATCTTCATCTATTCTAAGAATACATATGAATGTGAACTTCATGTTTGTCATGTATTACAACAATTAAGAGATGCGAGACTCTATGCCAAGATAGAAAAGTATGTATTCTACACTACTTAAGTCGACTTCTTAAGATACATCATTTCAAATGATGGACTTATGATGGATCCTAAGAAAGTTCAAACAATGATGGATTGAAAGATTCCAAAAATAATAAGAGATGTCTAATGCTTTTTGAAATTTGCCAACTATTATCGAATCTTCATCAAAGACTTTTCTCGAGTTGCAGCTCTGCTTACACATTTGACTTGTAAAGACAAACTTGAGTGGAGTAAAGAAGTTGAAGTATCTTTTGAAACTTTGAAGTCAGCCTTTATTTTTGCATCAATCTTGTATCGCATCAACTTTTCTAAAGCATTTTCTATGGAAACAGACGCATCAAACTTTACTTTGGATGTTGTATTATCACAAATGGGAGCAAATAATAAACTTCTTCTAATAGCTTTTCATTCCAAAAAAATTTCAGGAGCTGAGATTGACTATGAAATCTACGACGAAGAGCTTCTTGCAATCATAGATTCATTTCAAGAATGGTGTCATCATCTAGAAGGTACTTCTAATCTAGTCACCATATATATAGATCACAAGAATCTTGAGTATTTTATGTCAGCATGTATTTTAAATTATTGCCAAGCCCATTAAAGCATGTCCTTTTCAAGAGTGGATTTCAAGTTCACATATCGACTCAAAAAACAACAAGGTTTGTCAGACACCCTTTCTAGGCATTCTTATCTTGCACCAAGAGAAAGAAATGCATCTTTTGATGAGTAAAAAATAATTCTCTTAAAGCCAGAGCATTTTCATCTTCGAGTAATGAAATCAACGTTGACTGTGGATTTGATTTTTGTGAAACAAATCCAATCAGGTATGTCTTCTGATCTTTTTGTTAATAATATCAAGAATCTTTCTTCTAAGTCCCAAGATACTTCTAAGTTTGAGTTCAAAAATAACCTACTCTATTTCGAAGGTTGATTATATGTTCTAATAAGAGAAGCATAATTACATGTTCTTCAAGCATGTCACGACTTTCTAGCAGCAGGATATTTTGGATACAACAAGACTTTGGAGCTTATATCTAGAGATTTTTGGTGGCCACAAATATGGAAGGGTGTAAAAGACTTTGTTTAGTGATGCGATGTTTGTTCAAGATGAAAAACTCCTGGTCATTGACCTTACAAACTTCTTCAATCATTACCTATTCCGGAACAACCATGGTCTTCTGTTTCTATGGACTTCATTACGGATCTTCCAATCTCAGATGCTTATGACTCTATATTTGTGATAGTAGATTATTGTACCAAGATGGCATATTTTGTACCATGTACAAAATCTATCACATGTGAAGAAACAACTAAACTCTTACTTGACAACATCTATTGCTATCATGGATTATCTAAAGATATTATATCGAATAGGGGAACTCAATTTGTATCAAGGTTTTGACAGACTTTTTTTAAGATTCTAAAAGTAGATATAAAACTATCTTTAACATTCCATCCTGAAACTGATGGACAAACAGAGCATGTTAATCAAGTTTTGGAGTAGTATTTAAGATATACCATCAACTACCAATAAGATGATTGGATAATTCTTTTGCCATTGACAAAGTTTGTTTATAATAACACAATACATTCTTCTATAAAACAAATACTTTTTTTTTTTTTATCAATTATGGTTATCATCCATGACTTGATACTTTTGACTTTTCAAAAGTTGATAATCTTAAGGCAAAAGATTTGACAAATTATTTATCAAAGCTATATGCAACAATGAAGGCACAGTTAAAAGAAGCTCAAGAACAACAAAAGATCATTGCAAATGTCTATCAAAAGGAACAACCGTCATTCCATGCGGGTGATAAGGTATGGTTACTTTGTCATAATATGAAGACCACTCGTTCTTGTGACAAGTTGGACTATTGTAGACTTGGACCATTTCCTATTTCTACACAAATCAATCGAATTGCATATCGTTTATACCTACCGGGGTCAATAAAAATCCATCTAGTATTCCACATATCTCTTCTTGAAGCATACAAGATAGTGGACATACTAAGAAGAAGACATTCTCCACTTCTTCCTATAGAAGTGGGTAATAATGAAGAGTTCAAAGTGGAAGAAGTCCTAGATTTAAGGCCTCACCAAAATAAATTGGAATATCTTGTCCATTGGCACGGATATGATATTAGTGAATACACATGACAGCCAATAAAGAATCTTGTAAATGCAACAAAGGCGGTGGAGGCTTTTCATCGACAAAATCCATCAAAATCAAGATGAAAACCTTCCTTATAAAAGAAACAAGATCTAGGCAAGATAACATTTAATCCTTATTTGTAGTTTCTTTGTAATTGTAACACTAAGGATATAGAGAACCAACAACTAGCGGATTCGACTGATAAGCCTTCATTTGCTGACCTGCCAAACAAGACATTGCGATTGTCACAACCTTCAAGATGATGCAATCAAAATGAAGATCCTTAAGAATGACATATTTTTCTTTGAATAGATGGCAAGATACAATGCGTTTGATATCACGACCTTGGAAGAGAATCCTAATGTTTGGTAATTTTATTAGAGGTAGGAACAACTCCTAATGGTCTTCCAAATATTTTATTTGAAGGAAGTTATGAAGGCATCAACAACAATCAGATAATAGAGTAGTCTTTCCGCCATAGTATGGGACACTATCAATAGTTGAGAGGCCCTATCAACCATCTTTGAAGAGAACAAAGATCTGGATATGTAGCGAATACAATTCGTAACATTATAAATTTCTTCAATATATGATGACTACTCCTCGTAAAACTCGTCCCTAGAAGAAGAGGTAATGTCACAAACATATACATGTAAGCTAGTAGTTACTTGTATAAATAAGTAGAAATAAGTAGAAGTAGGTAAAAGCAAGTTAATTCTATAATATCTTCTATAGAAGCTTCTTAAAAGCTTTATAGACATTGCTTTGACTTTATAGTGTCTTTAATTGATTTTTTGGATTAGAAACGTGGTCAACAAGTTGGCCATGTACCACACATGTTGTTAGCTTGAAGACCAAGCTAATTATGTGGCTCACACATAGAAAAACTTGCCTTGTAAGTGAAGGCATGTGTTTTATAAAGTCAACACATATTGGAGGTCCTATAGAACATCGCCATTGCCATCGCCATATAGAGATAAGAGTGAAGCCTTCTTTACTCTTGTCAATTCCTTTCTTGCTTCTAGTCTAGTTTCAAGAGTCTCAAGTTTTTTTGTCTTTTAGCGACAAGCCTTTCCAATTTTTTTTAATATACGTACTTCCTTATTTCTATTTTGTCACTCTTTTTTTGACACTGATTTCATTGTTTATGCATCAACTTTTAGTTCATGTCCTTGACACAAAGATCCAATTCACAATATATTTCATATATATTGTTTAATTGACTTGGATATAGATTTCTTTGAGCAAAATCCACTTGCCTTTTAGAATCCCAATACAATGTTTATTTATAACACATGCTTTAGCCAAACAATAATTGAATTCATTGTTAATCAATTGTTTTGTGGCTAAAAACTTTAAGAATAACTGTTTGGCTCACATCACAAGTTAAGTCCGCCAACAAGTACTCCTAGGATCAAAGTATTTTTTTGGAATTTTTGAATATTCCTATATTTTTGAACATTATTGCATCTACGCAAGATTTAGGCCAATTAGTGATTAAAGTAATGATATAGTGATTAAGGTTACAAACAACCTATACATTTACATAATACATCTTTTTTTTTTGTCAAAGAATGAATCTTTGTGATTCTTAAGGCATTGGCTCATAGAGAATTGCATCTTATTCATAAGTCCAATGCAATGTTTGAAGCAAAGTAGGCTAAAAGTTTGGCTTATTTGAAGCATTTGGACAATATTTGGTTATTCTAGATAGTGTTGTTTGAGTGAAAAAATGGCCTAAATTACCTAGTTTGTAAAGAAGCATACTATGTTGTTGCTAATATCCCATGTCCTTCTCAATCTTCCAACGTTGGCTTTGTTTGATCCATGATGATTTAGATCATCAACCAATTGGCAAGCAATATTAGTTTGTAGGCAATGGCTCATATTTTAAAAATTACGATGGTCTTTCATAGCTAGAAGTACTATTTGAAAGCCCTCTCACAATGTTCTTGTAGTTTGGCAAAATTGGATATCAAACTCATTTATAAAATAATTCAAAATCCTATCGCATGCTTTGGATATAGAATTTTGAGTGAACATGAAACGAGAGTTGTTAATTACGCCATGAACCACCACAAGTTCTTTTGCATTTTTGAATTCAAAGAAGTCATCTTGAAAGTTGTTGTCAACTTCTTGGAATTATTCTTCAAACAATTCATTAAATTCATCATCATTTGCAAGAATAATGAATATTTTTTAGTCTTGTTTTTTGGAGCACTAAGGTATGGTGAGATTTATTAATATTTGTAGTTATTATTATCTTTTTGGTGTTTATTGATATCTAGAGGAACTATACATTATTATTTATTTATTTATTTATTATATTCTAGTTTTGTGTTCCATTGAACCTTTCAAATGTTTCAGAGTTCAATCTTCTACATTATGGTTACAAACCCAATATTTAAAACCATTGTATTTAATTTGGATGTTTCAATGAGTATTTTCCAAGGTAAGAATTACTAGAGGATTTATTAATACTTAATTGTGGTCGTGTGTATTTGTTTGCAGATGTTTGTAGTTTACATTTTTGTAGAGAGGTTGCTATTGGACCTCAGCTTTTTTGGGGTTTGCCGTGGCTATCTGTTGGGTTCCTGGGTTCTGATGTGGTCTTGCGATGCAGCGTAGTGAGCCCAGACCACATGTGTGTGTGTGAATTTGAAGTGGGCTCGTGCGGGAAGCTTTGGAATCCAGTGGACTCATGAAGATTTGGGTCCAGGAATAGCGTCCTCAATTAGAAAGTGTCTGGCCTCGATGTTCTGGATGGACCCAATTGGAAAAAAACACACACAACGAGGAAGGAGTAGTAATGTTTGTGAGGATTAGAATTTGTTCCATAGAGAAGTCTTGCATCTTCGAAGTTGGGTGTTCTTGGCTGTAGTGTGTGATTTTTCAGGTGGATCGCGGGGAACCCTTGTGAAGTCGTGCGTTCAATACTTACGTCGAGGGATCTAAATAATGCTTCTTCTTGCATGTTTTGTTGCGGCAGAGAATCAAGGATCAAAAGGCTTTTAGGATTTCATATGCTAGTAGTAACGTTTTAGGGTTAGGTCATTTGACTGATGCTGTTGGTTTCTGATTTGAGCAATCTCTCTGTCCAACGTGGGTTTTAAAATCCATGTTGATTGTGGTTAAGTGACGTATGGTAGTAGAAGCATAATTTCGCAGTCGTTCTTCCTCCAAGGGTTAGGCTTAGGATTTTAAGAATCGATGAAATTCCGGAAGTAGTTCGACCGAGAAAATATCGACAAATGGCAGGTGATGACGAGAGTGTGTGTGTATACTATGGCACACCATTAGTGAGCGAGGTAGAGTTGAATCCGCGAAAACGCAAGGCTGCCTTGGATCAGGGCAAGGCTTGTCAAGTTGCTCCATGGAACCAAGAGGTTAGTGCTTGGCATTTGGTTTCGATCAGAGATTATATGTCCTACATCTACACACACCAGTTGTGAACTTTGAATTCGTGTCGTGTTTCCTAGTGGGTCCTCCCGCCTGTTCAGGTAATTCATCGCCAATTAACTCTCACTACACTGAGCAATTGGACAGGTTACGGATTCTGAAGGCCGCCGACGATTTCATGGGGCTTTCAGCGGGGGATTTTCTGCCGGCTACTACAACACTGTGGGCTCTAAGGAAGGTGCGTTCAAATGAAGTCGGAAACATTTGTGCATCCTGCCAAGTGATTTTCACTTACATTTCTCAGCATTTTTTTCGTGGTTTTAAGACTAAATTTACAAGTGAATGAATACAATTGTCAATTATTCGTGGGACATCTTGCAGGATGGGCTCCAACGGCCTTCACCTCCTCTCGTCAGTCCCGAGCAGACAAGAAGTCACAAGCTGCCTATGACTTCATGGATGAAGACGAAAAGGCGGTATGATACTTGAGGTTCACAGTCTGGGACCTGTCAAATGTTTTATTGGAATTGGTAGTTGCAATTGTGCAATGCTCTCTTTTCATGCACTTAGTGCCGCAGATGGCAGCAGTTAAAGTCGAGGTTTCAGATTATAGATCAGTCTACTTCTTTTCAAGTATAGATCAGTTGAGTACACTTCGGCGCGTCTTTTAGTTTCCCTCTTTTCTACTTGGTATTACCTCAACATTCTTGGACTTGTTTCCATTCATATAGCTCTTAGTGTGTTTGTAGATCCCTTCAGCTTCTTTGTTTCCACCCTTCTGTAATACAATCTATTCCTTGGACCGTCCATCGAGAATTGAAATTGAATTTTGTTTTTTTTTGTTTGTTTGTTTGTTTGTTTGTTTTTTTTTCTTTTTTGAATGGACTTCTAGGAGTATGATGCGAAGAACTTGGAAGTACGCTCCGACTTTGACACTTTTGGGTCTACTGCTGCTGAATATGCACGCCGCCAAGCTGCGAAAGAAATTGGTGACAGGTGTTGACTCTGAACCAGACCACATTGTATTGGACCAGTACATCTCTTCATGGCATGGAGGCCGGGTGTAGAACCTCCTCGAGTAGAATAACTGTTACTGTTATCCGAGTTGCAGAGTCACTGCATCTGCTAAAACTCTCCATTCTGCTCTTGTTCTGCAGACCTTCAGCAATTCCAGGGCCATTAATTGATGAGATTATCGTCCCTGTAAATGAATCCACAGGTTTGTGTCCCTCCTCAATAACGACTCATGAAATGATGTGGAAGTCTGTCGTCATGTAGCAATAACGTCTGTTTCTGATCGTAGATCGTGAATTTTTAGACTTCTCGTTTCCAGATGTAGCTCTATCTGGGCACATTGGTGACTTCATACACTCTGCTTTTGTGAAGTTTCTGTGCTTTTCTATTTTTTGTATTTCTCTACAGTTTGAATATTCATGAAATGGTCGATCTCCCACTTGTATTTGGCAGGTGTGAAGCTTCTGCGTTTAATGGGATGGAGAGGAGGAAGACAAATTGGACCCAAGCATATTGCTGCCGCCTCAGGTAAAGAATGCTGCTGTGGATTGTTTGTCTTGAGTTTTCGAACGCAAACATTTGTTTGTTCTGTGTGGCGCGCTTACTAAACTCTTTTTTCAGGTGCTAAGAGGGAAGCTAGAAAAGCGATGATGTCCCTTGCTCAGAACGAGTCCAGCAGTAAAATTTTACCTGGAACAGAAGAATCTCTGGCAGTAGGTGAAGACGGACAACTTGCAGACGAGGAGGATTTCGATATCGAAGTGCCTACAGCCACTCCTGTACGCTTTCCGGCTTCATAACTTGCTTTTAAAATTGTTTGCATTAGCTTCGAACTATAGAAGTTTAATTAGTCCCTGGCGCTTTTCCTCCGTAATATTTTCTTTTGCAATGTGCACGCTAGATCCTGGAGCATTCCAAGGACGTTTATTCTTGGTTTTTCGCATTAAGTGAACCCTTTTCAGAGCAATAGATTCGTTTTGTGTGGGTTATTAGAGCATCTCACTACCATATCCATTACTTGGACATGAAGGTGCTCCTCACCATGGAGGCAGGCTTGAACAAGTACACTTAAAATGTCCAGAAGCTGGACATGGTAGTGAGAAGCTCTAGCTACTCGCACAACAGCAGTTTTGCTATTTTTGGTGGAGTTACCTGCTGTTGGGTTTTTGAAATCTTTGATGGATGCTTTCGGTATTCCTGTTATCAATTTGGTTCGTTGATTTGCTGTCTTGGGATGTTTCTCAGAACTTTGTGATGAACCCCAAAAAGGATCTGTATGGACTTGGCTTTGATCCGTTTAAAGACGCTCCAGAATTTCGAGGTATAGATCACCATGGACATGATTTAACTTTCCTTGTTTCTCTGGGAAGCGAGATTTGATGTACTGCAATCGCAGAGAGCTTACGAAATTTTTGTTTTCTGCAGAGCGTAAGCGTGCTCGGGAAGAGGACCGGTCTGGTCATGGTGGCTGGAGAGGTCATGCTTTAGCGCTCAAGAGACCTAGCCTTTTTCGTCCAAATGGTTGACGCTTTTTCTTCTGTTAGTCGTTTAGATCGTAAACAGATAATGCAATGAGCTTATGTTCAATTACATTTGGTCAGTGTTTATGTTTTGTGTTCAGTGTCTTCTTTGCGTCTTCTTCGATTTCCGTCTAAAACTATGACTATCCGTTCATGATGGATGTGATGTCACTTTCAGACGTGTTTTCATGATTGGCAATGAACATATAGAGTTCTTATTACTCTTTTGGGTGCGTTGCAGCTGGAAAAATGGGAGCTGGGTTTGGAATAGGAGCTTTGGAAGACTTGGGCGATGAAGATGAAGACGTCTATGATCAAGGTTGCAACATTCTTACCTACTCCGCTTGATATTCTCTCCCAGTATTGTATCTTGTGTTATTGCTTAGAACTTCACACAATGTGCTGAACCTACTTATCCAATATTGCTTCTAGAAAGACTGCCACATGTTATAGCATTGGATCTGTCATCTCGCAAGATTATAATGTGTTAAAGGCGTCAACTGGTCGAACTTTCGAATGGTTATCTGAGTTTGGAGAACTTCACGTTGTGTGTGCCTCTCTCTCAAACATCTTGATCTAACTCTTGGTCGAAAAGCAGGTATGGAGTTTGAAGTTCAAGAGTTGGAGGATGATGACAAACCACCAGAAAAGCCTCAGAAGTTGCTATTAGAAGATCCCCTACACAAGGGTAGCACCTTGCCAGGCTTTCATCTCGCTAAAGAGCCACCTAAGAAGAAGCCATGGTAATGCATGCGTCAATCGCATGCTTGTCTAAATATAGAAGTGATGAATTTCTGTGATGCAAGAATAGAGAAAGTCGTACACTGCTTCAGTACAAATGGATTTTTGAGTTTGGAATGAAATGAGTTGTTTGATCACTCAGTTTCAGTTCTACTAGGTATCAAGGGATTGATAGAAAATGGTTGTGTGCACTTCGCAGGTTTTCGCCACCGATTATTCCCAAGAACTTTAGTTTTGTTCATATATTCAATAACCCTCTATGTTCTGAACGCTTGCAAGATAGACCTGCACCTCCAGCTGCTCAGCCACCTGATGATCCAGAGCAATGCAAGTATATAGAAGGATTAGCGTCGTTTGTAGCGAAAAGTGGTCCACGTCTTGAGGAAATCTCCAAAGAGAAGCAAAAGGAAAACCCCATGTTTGGGTTTCTATTTGGAGGTCCTGGCCATGATTATTATGTTCGTAGACTGTGGGAGGAAGAGCAAAAGCTTGTGAAGGATGGCAAGCAACAGATTCAAATTGATAATGCTCAAAATGAGAAAGCAGGGAAACAGTCAAATTTCTCTTCTCGGTTGGCTGCTAACGAACGAGGCAGAATGCTGGGGGAGATACCATTACCAAAAGGACCTGCATCTGCACAGAGACTCGATTCTCCAGTTGCCTCTATGGTTGGAGCCGATGACCGTGCGCGACTGCAGTCTGCTCTTTCGAGCACATTCACATCTACTTCCAGTGTATGGTGTAAACTCTGGATCCAAACTCTGCATTCTTGCACACTTGCATTCGACTTTATTTGTCCTTCACGGTCAATTGTAGTCGTCTTCATTGATCATTGTCAGCAAGAGGTAAATTTGTTCGTTTTGCTGGAGTCGGATGTCGGGCGCTGTCCATTTTCATTAGTTGGAATGTGGAGCGCACGTTAGAGTGTTTAAGCACTGTTATTAAGTTGTAATTTTTATGGTCAGTTTCCTGTTATCTCAATCGTTGATCGGGTGTTTGTTATCTTGAACTTCACGCGCCATCTTGACAAGTAAATCGTATTGTATTGAATATATATTTTTGTCTCGCAGGCTGGAGAATCAGCTGGAAATTTCCAACCGTTTAAGAATGACCTTGCGAAGCAGAGTCGGTTTGAACAGTTTTTGAAGGGTAAAACAACTGGAGGTTTATGGAAGCCAGTAAGCGGGGGGAGTGGCTTGTCTGAGGCTGAACGTTCTCAAGAAATATTCGAGTTTGAAACTATCGCACGAATGCAACAGGAAGGTCTTACACCTGACAAACGCTCCCATTTGAATGCTCCAGGCAAGCCTGTGCCGGAATTGGTTGCCGTGATGGGGAGTCGTTTTACAGCAGCGGGGATTGAGACTACCACTACACTCGCGGTAAGACATGTAGATCTTTTTGAAGAAATATCTTTCAAGCATCTTTAAGTTTCTATGACCTTTATCCTCGTATCGTTTCTCAACATTTTTTGTATCTTACGATTGATCACAACAGTTCCTTTAATGGGCACGAGCTCTTGTGTCATGATAACTTTGATTGATTTCTTAATCGCTGACCTGGTTTTAAGCTTTTCTGCTTACGTAATATTGCAAATCATATTTTAGGAAGCCGCTGTAGGCAAAGAACTTGTCTTGCGAGAACTAGTCAAGAAGTATCCGATCAGGGAAGAAAATTCTTGGAGGCCGGCTCCTTTGCTCTGCAAACGATTTGACTTGCTAGATCCATTCGCTGGAAAGGTAATATTCATTGTTTGAAATGATATGGCTGCAATAAGATGTGTCGTGATAGTGTACCTCACTTTCAATCGTAGTCCTTTTTGCTAGTTCATAGTCTCCCTTTTGCATTATTTCAACCCTTTTCGTCTATTACCACGAAAAATGTTCAATTGATTTTATTTAGCCATCAACACGTGGGACAAATTTTTCTCAACTTTTGTTGCGCTCTAATTTCTTGGCCAGGCGCCTCCCCTACCAAAGCCTCGAAGTCGCACAGAATCGTTCATTCTTCTCACAAACCCTGTGGAAAGCAATTTAGAGTTGCGACACCCACCTTCACAAGCAAACTTCACCCAAAAGTCCGTTATCCAAGACCCCAAAATATCAGAATCGGACGAAAGGTACGGAGAGGAGCTTGAACAAATAAATGAGAAGATTGAACCAATTCCTGAGAGACCAGTTGACTTATACAAGGTAATGCTATTTTTTTTTAAAAAACTTGTTTACTAGATATTGAACCCCACGTTTGATTGTGCTGTGGATTTACTTTGGTTGCATAATCCTGAATGATGTACGCCTGATTGAGGCAAGCAGTGAGTATGGGGTGACGTAGATCCTCTCTTTTCTCCAGACATACAATTTGCAATGCTTACAACATTTCCAATATTCTCGTTCTTCTGGCTGTTTGTCATTGAAACACATTTTGACTCTTTGTGTATGTGTGAATGAGGCATTTTAGCACATGGTTAGGTGCTTCATTTTAGTTGTCAGACAATCTTCTAGTCGATTATTCTGTTTGGTAACAACCATATGCTCGTGTGTAAAACCAATACACTTCAGGTTTCATAGAGGGCGGATGGGACAAGGATTGGTAAATTTTGCAGTTTCATAACGCGTGATTTACCATCAATGTGGTCAAGTAACTAATGTAGGACATTTCTTCTCAGGCGATATTTTCGGATGACTCTGATGATGATGACGAGTTGGCTGAACCTGCTCAACTATCAGCACACGCGGGAGATGCCATGAAGCGTGCAGAAGCTGCTAACACAGCTCTAAACAGGCTCGTTGCTGGTGATTTCTTAGAATCGTTGGGAAAAGAACTTGGGCTGGAGGTTCCAGAGATAACCCGACCAACTGGAGATAGAGCTGAAGTTAAGGAAAGAGATGGTGGTTTGGGAAGAAGTAAGAACAATGATGAATACAGAAGTAAGTTGGGTAGGAACATCATAATTTATATGTCCCATTGAACTAGTAAAAGTGTGTAGTTCCCCTTTACAAGCTGCTGAGGAACGCCTTATGTTTAATTGCAAGATTTTTTGCTATCACATAGAAATGATTATTGCTTTCTACGGACAACACATATCACAATCTTGGCACAATCATATTATGCTACTCTTACGTGATATGCTTTTAAGAGTAGCACAATATGAGCCGTTCAACTTTCTCATTACGATCGATCATCTAACTATGTTTCTGTTGGTCAGGGGGTGAATCCAAACTACAAAGTAGCGCGCCGGTTGAAGTTGCTAGGGACCAGCGTGGCTTCTCCATGCGCCATGAAAAATCTCCATTGGGGCGTCAATTGCACAAGAATGGTACAGTTGTGGAGGATGTGTATCGGAGAGACTCGCAGCAGAGTTCCCGGGGGAAGGTGTTGCAGTCTGATACAAATGAAGCTTTGTTTGGTGTTAAAACTAGACGCCTGGATGTTCCCGATGCTCCAAGGAGGTGGGGAGATGATACGAGTAGTGCAAGACACACAGCAACAGGTAAGGAGGCCAAGGTCTCGCATGTTCCTTCAACAGTATCTCGATATGATGACACAGAATCTGAGTCGGACTCCGATAAAGAGAAAGCCTTAGCAAAGCAGATTCGTCGTGAAGAACGAAGATTGAAGCGAGAGAAAGAGAAGAGGAAACACAAGCATCGGAAAAATCACTCCTCCGACAAATCGGGCAAGACGAAGGTGCAATGTCATTCGGCTTCATATTCCATATGCCAATTTGCATCTTTGAATTTGGTGCCATTCCTTTGTTTGTTTTTGTAGGCTTAGTGCAACATCTGGCTTGTGGAACTTCAGTATTATCAGTAAGTGAAGACCACTGTATAATACACCTTATACTAGCGAGTAATGAAAGTTTCGTTGGTGCAGAAAGAAAAGAGCCGAGAGAAGGAAAGGCATCATCATCGGAAACGCAAGCGTCAACGAACTGAATCCTCTTCAGGGACCTCCTCCCCTTGATTGATTGCACCCTTTCACGACGCCGTGCTAATGTTTTCCATGTTTTGCACATAAGCTTGGGATGAAACTAGAGATAAATTGTATTGAGGATATCACACCGCATATGTAGAGAAGTTTTGTCCCAAGTTGCTGGAGCTTCGTAGTGATTGTGCTTTTGTATACGTGGGGCTGTTATCTAAGGAGACTTTGTACAAAGTGATTGTTAAAATTGAAAGTTTCTGGGGATGTTGCTTCAAACTCTATGTCGTGCATCATATACAAGCTTGTTGGTGGGCTTTGTGCTCTGTAGTAAGTTGGGTTCATTGGAAATTTCTCCCCATCAATTTTTTAGCATTTTAAGTTGCTTTATTATTGTTGCTATTGTTTCTCACACACCAAAAGCGTGAGAGTGTAAAACCCTTCAGTAGGACTTCCATGAGCATCATCAGGTTTTCATGGAAAGACTTGAAATTCAAAGCATAACGTTTTAAAGATATAATTGGTAAAAAGTTCATGTTTGGATATATAGATATATTTTTTTTTATGTAATAGCTCAGAGGACAAATACACAAGATAAACATGAGACAAAAACCCTCTCTAATTTGCTGCATGCCTCATTGTGTATGTCAAAAATGAACCAACAGTTGAGTTTACAGTGCCTTAACAAAACCAGGTTACTGTTGATCATATTGAAATAATGCATGATATATTGAGAACAATGCAAGCTCAAAGCTTTGAGTTTAATTAACTAGAACTTGGAGCTATTGAGATCTAAATTTTTGGTATGCGTTTGTAGTTCTTGTATATGTGTAGTGTCTTATGTTAGTGATTAAGAAAGCCATGAAGGTGTAATTTGTATTATCTCTAAAAATCTAGAGTACCAAGTTTTTCTTAATGTTTTCTCCAATCCTAACTTTTGCATAGCAAATTAAAATGGTTACAAATTATTCTGAGTTTATGCAATATTGTTTAAGATAATTGCTAAGTAAACAAATTGTCCTACATAGTAGTCAAATGGGATGACAACTTCCTCTCTATGAGGCACAAGGCGCAAGTTGTGAGGAAGAAAGGGCAATAGGCGTTGGATTTTGCAATGTGCATGTCGAATCTTAATCTCTAACCATGCCAATGAAAATGTTGTCGAGATAAAGAGAGTTGCCTTAAGAAAGCATTGGACTTTTAGGTGTCACTAATTGCTCTATCAAGTTTCAAGATAAAAAAGTATTAAGTTTTTATATAAAATTGTTCCTATAGGATAATCACATCAATACATAAGCCCTAAGTACCAAAGAACATCTAAAATGTGATAAAAATATTCCAAATCCTTATATATCCTTAAGGTGAATTTTTTCCAAACTTCAACAATTCATATCTCACAATTGGACCATCCAAACAAACTAAAATTTTACATAAAGTACTCATGTACTCTAAACAACTATCAAAACAAATTTCAACCACAAAATTGTTATGGATCTTGAGATATTACCAAAACCCTAACAATAGATTCAAATCTTTGCTTACATATACATGCATGTAATTATCTTCATATCTCACAAAGTAAGTATTCAAATACCATAAAATTTTGATATGTAGCTTCTTAACCTAATAACTCACATCTTTGAAAATTTTGAGTCAAAAATTCGTCCAAAAACTCAAGATATGGCTCCAACCATTACTATCAACAAAACGGCTTACTTATTACCTTTGAATTACATGTATTGTCTTCAATGTCATATAACTCCTTCATACAAATATTAAATATAACAATTTTTTTTGCAAAAGACGTAGGTCTTGAAATCACTCTTTTGATTGCATCTTTCAATCTCCAAAAGTTGCTATACAACTTCTTATATCCTCAAAAGAACAATACTATATCTTAAAAGCTATCTTAACTTCAAATGTCTATAATTTCTTCATCCTAATTTCAAACCCTCTAAATTTTATATACAAATTGTAGTCCAAATCCTAAACCTTACAATGCTTACTTTTAATTCTCAAATGTTTCTTTTGAAGTTGCTGAAATCCTTGTTATGGTCACGAGCAGCTTGCTAAAAGCATATTAGGCATAGTCTTTGATCAATAGAAATGAAGACCTTCACCTCTTGCCTTTATTTGCCCATATCTTACTTTCATTCTTTGAAATAAGCTTCATAGAGGTTTAAATCTTCATCTTTGAGCTCTTATCTTTTCTGAAAACTTTATACTAAATATCTAAATCTTATATAATTTAAACATTATAATCAAAATATATAAACTTCAAAATAATTTTTTTTTACATCATTTTTTTTTAAATTAATGTACTAACTATTCTAGTACACATCAAGACTTATAAATATATTATATGTTTTAATTAATTTTTATATACTATAAATAATTATAGTACAATATCCACCTTCTTTGAATTTGTACATTCTCTGATATCTGCCATGTGCTACTCCTTTTCATTCTCTTGTGATTTCTTTAAATCATTCATAGCTTCTTCTACTTCATGTTTTTGGTCCAAATATTGAGATAAGAATTCTTCAAGGTCTTCTATTTTGAACCACCCATCTCTTCTCTTGAAAGCCTTAATTATCTTTTTTGCTACTAGAATTCTAATAATAACTCCATTTAACTCATGTAAGATATATGTAGCATTATCATAGATTGTAACTACTATATATGATCCAAACCATTTTTTTACTAATTTCTTTATAGTACCATATTGATGTTTAAATCTACTATCATAAATTAGTATCTAATCTCCAATCTCTATAGGCTTAAGCTTCAATCTATGAGTCTTGTCAAATCTTTTTATATTTTTCAAACTTCCTTCTTTTAACCTCTCAGCTATAATTTGTAGGTCTTCAAATAACCTTTTCAACTATTAGATTTCAAGCTCTAATAACTTTTCTCTATTAATGTCATCTTTTGAAGATAGAAACATCCATGTAAGATAGATTTTTTCAGTTGGCATCATAGATTTTTATCCTAATATTAACTCCATAGATATATAACCAATGAAAGTACTATGAATTGTTCTATTAATCCATAAAGCAAATAAAAGCAATTTAGGCCATTTAATTGGCTTATCTTTACATGCCTTAAATAATGCATAAATGATACAAGGATGCCTCCTCTCACTCTTTCCATTGGCTTCAAAATTATATGAAGTAATTAACTTTAGTTGAAATCTATACCTATTAAAAAAAATTCTTGTTTCAATAACATCCAATTCTCTTCAATCACCTCTCATCCTCCCAATGCTACTATATTTGTTCAAGATGGCTTCTAGTATAAATCTACATACTACTTTTGTAGTCTTGGTTCTTAAAGCCCTTCCTTCAACATAATTTGATAGCTCTTCTTTTACCAAAACTAAGCATTTCATATTCCAAAGTCTTGATTATATAGCTACCAAATCAATTACCAATTAAAAATGTATTGAAGGTAGATAAGTAGGATGTAATCCATCTCTATATTTAATCTTAGATTATAATTGATATTCTTTGCATGAGTTTACAAAGCCTTTTATATCTTTGTATAAGCCCTTCTACCAATACCTTTCTTTAATCTTGATATATGTGGTCCAAATTCTTCTATGTCTTGTCCAAAGTATATCATGATAATTTCTTAAAACTTTAAATTTAGTTTTGAGGTCTTCTATTATCTTCAATAGAATTTTATCACCTCTTTTTGGCCTCTTCTATAAAAATCCATCTCTAAGAAAATAACCATAGGATTGGTATCTAATACTTTTGAAGGATTTATCAATCTACCTTTTTTATTTCTTCATTGTCCTCAAACAAATTTTAATATCCTTCAATTGTCAAACTTTTATAAATTTTTTGAATCTAATCACCAAAATCCATTCTGCTAATAGTAAATGAATTTTCATAAATCTTCTCATCTTGATCTTTTCCTATTTCATGTACCATCATCTCTTCTTCAAAGATATATCTAACTCTAGACAACATATCTGCCAACAAGTTCTTTTTACGAATAATATATATATATTAATACAAAATTCAATGTTTTTACGAAGGCTATCTATCTTAGCATGGCAATGTTTAGAATAGTACAATTAATTATCATTATGAATAATAATAAAAAATTTGTTTCAAAACCATATTTATTCTAATTAAATAATTCTTCTCACCCTTTAAAATAGTGAATGATGTCCAAAGATTTCTTTTAATTTGTGAATAAGTGCTTTGCCTCTTTGTAAGAACTCTAATTCCAAATCTTATAGCAAATCTTCCCTTCTCTACATTATCTTATTTAATAGTCCATCCAATTGCTATGGAACTTTTGTCTACTATTACAACCATTGTACTTCTATATTAATAATCCACTTGCCTAAGTACAAGTGGTGAATTCAATATTTTTTTAAGATTTTTCATAGCTATCTCTTGTTCTTCTTTTCAAACAAATCTCTTATTCTTCTTCAATAACTTGTGTAGTGGCTTGAGATATAGCAAAGTGAGGCACCTAAATGTGATAAAATATACATGTCTCTAAAAACCTTCTGGCTTTTGTAATACTTTTATAATCTTTCATTTTAAATATAACATCAATTTTATCTAGATTTAGTTTCCTACCATATCTATAACACATGTATTCCATCATTAGAATGCCATCAACTCCAAAGCTTGATTTTTTAAAAGATAATATGAGATTAAATGATTCCAATCTTTCTAATATTCCAGCTACACCTTCAATATGCCCTTTGACAATTTTTTTGCAACTTTTAACTTTGATGTTCTCATCTTTGTCTTTTTTTCTATTTCTTTTTATAAGTATTTATCTAAAAATTGAATGGTTTTTTTAGGCATAAATTCTTTCAATATTTGGTTCATAGCATTTTACATATGATCCATTAAATTGGTTGCACCTTGAGGTAAGATATACATCCTCATTAAATCTAAAGGAGTCTTCATAATAAATAAATCTCTATTTTTTTCATCTAATTGAAATTAGTCAAATCCAAAATACAAGTCTCCAATAAAATAGATGGAAAAATCTTTCAGAGAAGCTTTTTAGAAACTTTATAGATGCTACTTCACTTTATATATACTTGTAGTCGATTGGTAGGTTAGAAACTTGGTCAACAAATTAATTATGTGTTGGTAGCTTGTAGAATAAGCTACCTATGTGGCCCATATATAAAAAACTTGCCTTATAAGTTAAGATACATGTCTTACAAAGTCAACACGTTTTCGAGGTCCTGTAGGACATTACCATGTAGCTCCTAGTTAAGAGTATATATGGAGGCAAGAGTG